AATTACTAAATTATAATAACAGTAATTACTTAATAAAATTCTAATTAACAAAAGAGTTTAATTCATAATTCAAATTATACTATAGTAATCTCATTAATAAAAACCTATTCATAAAAAAAGTTTAATTCACAATAAAGAGTTTAATTATTATATCACATAATCAATAAAGAGTTTAATTAAAATTCAAATTATACTAAAATTCAAAACATATAATAATTAATTTTTCTAATATAATATTTATAATTGATATGTAAAATAAAATAATTTTTTCTAAAACTCTATCACAAATTAGCTTTTATTATGAGTTTCTTAATAAAATTAAATCTAATTAGACAAGGATATATTTAAAGAAAATAAAATAATGTTTATAAAACTCTATCATAAATTACCTATTTTATTTTCAATAAAAACCTATCACAAACAAAGATATATTTAAAGAGTTTCTATCAAACTCCAACACAAATTACCTATTTATCTATTTATTGTGAGTTTTTTTTTTTTTTTTTTTTTATAATAAAAACGAAATCTAATTAGACAACTATTATTAATGTAATTTTTTTTTTTATTAATTAATATAAAAAGAGGTTCAAAAGAGTTTCTATAAAACTCTAATACAAATTACCTATTTATTTATTTATTATGAATTTTTTAATAAAAGTAAATTTAATTAGAGAAGAATTATTAAAATAAAAAATATTTATTAATTGATATAAAAAGAATTTTTAAAAGAGTTTATATTAAACTCTAACACAAATGACTTATTTATTTATTTATTATAAGTTTTTTAATAAAATAAAATCTAATTAGGCAAGAATTACTAATATAAAAAATATTTTTCAATTGATATAAAAAATAAAATAATTTTCCTAAAACTCTATCACAAATTAACTTTTATTATTAGTTTTTTTTTTAAAAAATAAAAGCTAATCTAATTTGACAAAATTATTAAAATATAAAAATATTTATTAATTCATATAAAAAGAGTTTTAAAAATATTTTCTATAAAACTCTAACACGTAATACCTAATTATCTATTTATTATGAGTTTTTTTTAATCAAAAATATAATTAAACAATAATATATTTAAAGGAAATAAAAAATTTCTATAAAATCTATCACAAATTATCTAACTCTAAAATTTACTTAATAAAATTAAAATTAATCTATTTTCCTATTTATTATTATGAATTTTTTAATAAAATAAAATCTAATTAGACAATAATTATTTGTGTAAAAAATATTTATTAATTGATATATAAAATAAAATAAATTTTCTAAAACTCTACCACAAATTAGCATTTATTATGATTTTCTTAATAAAATAAAATAAAACTACACACGGACATATATTTAAAGAAAATTAACAATTTCTATAAAACACTATCACAAATTACCTATTTTTTTAAAAACTTTACCACAAATTAGCTTTTATTATGAGTTTTTCATAAAATGAAATCTAATTAGACAAATATTATGAATATAGAAAATTATTTATTAATTAATATAAAAAGAGGTTTTCAAAGAGTTTTTATAAAACTCCAACACAACTTACCTATTTATGTATTTATTATGACTTTTTTAATAAAAAGAAATCTAATTAGACTAGAATTATTAAATTAAAAAATATTTATTAATTGATATAAAATGAGTTTTTAAAAGAGTTTATATTAAACTCTAACACAAATTACCTATTTATTTATTTTTATAAAATATTTATTAATTGATAATATTTATTAAATGTGCAAAGAGTTTCACTATTTATTTATTTATATAAAAAAAATATTTATTAAATGATATGAAAAGAGTTTTCATAAAAAAAAAAAAAACTATATAAAACTCTAAAATCTAACTAATAAAATCAAATTAATCTATTTATCTATTTATTATTATGAATTATTTAATAAAAAAATCTAATTTTCAGAGTAAAATATAAAAACTTTGCCAAAGTGTTTATTATTAAAAAATTCATAATAATAAAAGAAAATCTAAAGTGTTTCAGTATTTATTTATTTATTTATATAAAAAAATATTTATTAATTGATATAAAAAGAGTTATTATCAATACTATTATTAAATATGTAAAGAGTTTCATTATTTAAGTATTTATTTATATAAAAAAATATTTATTAACTGATATGAAAAGAGTTTTTATAAAATAAATAAATAAAAAAAAAACTCTTTCAAACTCTAAAATCTATCTAATAAAATATAAATTAACCTATTTATCTATTTATTATTATGAATTTTTTAATAATAGAAAATCTAATTAGACAATAATTATTAATATAAAAAATATTTATTAATTGATATATAAGATAAAATAATTTTTCGAAAACTCTATCACAAATTAACTTTCATTATGAGTTTCTTTATAAAATTTAATCTAATTAGACAATGTATATTTAAAAAAAATAAAATAATTTCTATAAAACTCTATCACAGTAGACAAAGATATAATATTTAAAGAGTTTTTATAAAATTATAACACAAATTACCTATTTATATATTTGTTAAAAGTTTTTAATAAAAGGAAATCTAATTAGACAAGTAATATTAATATAAAAAATTATTTATTAATTGATCCAAAAAGAGGTTTTAAAAGAGTTTTTATAAAACTCTAACACAAATCACCTATTTATTATGAGTTTTTTAATAAAAGAAATCTAATTAGACAAGAATTATTAATATAAAAATATTTATTAATTGATATAAAAACAGTTTTTAAAAGAGTTTGTATTAAACTCTAACACAAATTACCTATTTATTTATTTATTATAAGTTTTTTAATAAAAAAAAATCTAATTAGACTAGAAAAACTCTACCACAAATTACCTGTTTATCTATTTATTTTGAGTTTTTTTTTAATAAAAGGAAATCTAATTAGGCAATTATTATTAACATAAAAAATTATTTATTAATTGATATATAAAGAGGTTTTAAAAGAGTTTCTATAAAACTCTAACACAAATTACCTATTTATTTTTTATTGAAAAAAATATTTATTAATTGACATAAAAAGTGATTTTAAAAGAGTTCCTATAAAATTCTAACACATATTATCTATTTATCTATTTATTATGAGTTTTTTTAATAAAAGAAAATATAATTAAAAAAAATAAAATTATTTTTATAAAATTTACCACAAATTGGCTATTTTATTTTCTATAAATTTCTATCACATTATCTGCAAAAATATTCAACACGTGCATCGCACGTGCCTTTTCCTAGTATATATATATATATATATATATATATATATATATAATATGGATAATGGTTATCAAGAAAAATAAAGAAAACTTGGCATTCGTTTTTTATTTTATTTTATTTTTGTTTTAAAAACAATTAGAAAGAAATAACTTGAAAAGAAAATTTCAAAATTGAAAAACATATTTTCATGTTGATCTCTAAAGTAGAATTGCTTTAGGAGTGAGGAGGGAGAAGGGGCAATCCCTTCGATAACATATATCAATGCAAAAACTTCATTGTAATTAAAAAATAAATATTAGAAATATCAAAATTAAGAACCTTCAATTTCACGGAATTTCGTAAAATCAAAATAAAATACAAAGCAATCTTATTGAATAACTATTTAGAATAAAAAGATATCGGAATAAAACTCACTTATAAAAATAATTATATTTTCTATTTTAATATTTTTTGACCACACACTATTGTTTTTAAGTTGACTTCAGCCTTCAACTTTAATTTAAAAACTAGTAGAGAATAATTAGAAGTGTAAAAATTCGTAAACAGGAATGTGATTTGAAATAAAATAACATAGATCATGCAAGAGCATAGAATCAAATCGCTCACACGAATAATTGATATGATTTGAAATAAAGTAGTTTGTCTATATGCATATAGTCATGTTCCTATCGTGGACCCACTTCAATTATATAATAATAGTCATGTTCCAATTGTGGACCTAATTCAATTTTATAATAATAATAATAATAATAAGAAAAAGGAGAAGGAGAAGGAGAAGAAGAATTGAAACTAATTTTTTTTTAATACAAATTTTAAACTAAAATTTTGTTAAATTCTAATTCTAAAACGTGTATTTTGTACTCCCAAATATAGTTAGTGTAAAATTCTAATCTTGCTTACAATTTGATGTTCCTCACTCATGCACTTTGATAAATAAAAAAATTAATTTTGTATCCGAACCCAATACTTCCCTTGAGTACTTCAAATTTTGCCTTTTAATATTGGAGAAATCCATAATTACGAATTTCATCATTGTTAGTGAAATTTTTAATCAAGAATAATAATAAGTAGTTAAAAAAATCAGATTTGTCTGTAAGTAGAAGATGGCATTATCATAATGTCATTAAATATAACGTATATAATTTTAATTGAATGTGTCCGACTTTTACATTTTATATCATTATTCTTTAAATAAATACAAAAAAAATGGTATATACCACGTGGTACTCCGAATTGACCTTAATTAAAATGACTTGGAATGTTATTGTCTATCTTATTGCTAATTTGTCAAATAAAATCTTAATAACCAATAAAACAACGACAACTCACAACCTTATTAAGAAATTACACCAATCCTTATCATTTTTTCCACATTATCCTAAAAATTAAAAAGTTTTCAAAATTACCAACTACTCCGAATATGATATGATAGAGACATCTTACCCACCATGGACCAAGAGAAACAAAGCTACACATGCAAACAAAGACCTCTAGAGGTCCTACCACATTACAAACAACTTTTTTAATTTTTTGTTTTGTTTTGTTTTATGGTGTCCTTGCCTTCACCGATCTCCTTTCACATGGTTCCAAATTATGAATGGTAAGTTTAGCAAATAAGTTGAGGGCTTTACCGTGGATACAGCCATCATCAACTTACTAAACCATCAGGCTAAAAAAATACTTTTTACTCTTACTCAGTAAGAAGCCAACCGATCGAATAATGACGGGGTCCACTCCATGAGGTGTTTGTAAAGTGGAGGACAACCCATTTAAAGAGCTCAGATTTAATTTTAATTTCTTTACTCTCTCATGATATCAAGCAACTAGATAGATTTTCATCCACTCGATTCCTTGCGAATTACTGTTTGAGAGTTGATATAAAGAGTCAAACGATATCATCTCTTTAACAAATAAAGGAGTTTTAAGCTAGCTAGCTCCCCCATTGTTCTTTGATTGAGCATGGAGATGATTGTTCAGCCTGTTGTCTCTTTGGTTGTGGAAAGGGTTGGTGAATGGTTGGTGGGAAGAGCAAACCTCTCAACCCAAGTACGCTCCGAGGTGGAGGGAATTCAAAGGAACCTAAGATGGATGACGATCATCTTAAGGAATTCAAGTGCAAAGCATAAACAAACGGGGGCATGGCACAACTTTGTTGTGGAGATTGAAGATATCGCTTATGATGCTGAAGATGTAATCGAAACTTTTATCCTCACCGTACCAATGAGGGATAGAAGAAGAAGAGGTATTATCCATTTCTTTCTAAAAAAAGGTGCTTGCATTTATAAAGAGTCTGTAGAGCATCACAATGTTGTGTCAGAGATCAAGGATGTTAGGATCAGGATTTCTGAACTTTTCACAATTTTACAAGCTTATGGCATGATAAGACCCATGGTGGAAGGAGAAGAGTCATCAAGTTCCGCACAAGAAAGGGCACGTCTTATCAGACGGACTTATTCCCATGTGGTTGAAGAGGATTTCATAGATATGGAGAATGATGTGAAGAAATTGGTGGGACATCTGGTGAATGAAGACACAGATAATTATCAAACGGTTTGCATATGTGGTATGGGTGGTTTGGGCAAGACCACTCTTGCTCAAAAAGTCTACAACCACAAAGATGTGAAGCGTCACTTTGATTATCTTGTTTGGGCTTGTATATCTCAGCAACCCCAGAAACAAGATGTTTTGCAAGGGATCCTTATTAAACTTGAGAAGAAGGAGAAGGAGATTCGCCATATGAGAGATGAGGAGCTAACCAGGCTACTCCGTCAAGTCCAACTTGATAAAAGATGCTTAATAGTTCTTGATGACATTTGGGAACAGGGGGATTGGGACATCTTGAAATTTGCATTTCCCATTGGAGAAGCGACACGCAGCAAACTATTACTCACCACCCGGAATAAACAATTGGCTTCATATGTGAATCCACGTGGATTCCTCCATGAACCACGACTATTGAATGAAGGTGAAGCTTGGGAACTGCTTCAAAAGAAAGCATTTAAAAGAGCACACGGTTCATCAGGTATGGTATATAATTAGTCCCCACTCCACATGAATCATTGCATAGTTATTAAATGTCTCATTTAATATAGTTAAATTAAATCTATATATATATATTAGTTAGTGGGTTGTTAGTTTTGTGGACTGAAATTGTAACAACAAATAACCTTGATTGTTCCTTAAATGGCTTGTTCACGCAACAGAAATGTAAAGAACTTGAACTAATGTGGTAGCTACCTAAAAGGTTAGAAATTCAATTTTCATAAATAATTCAGGATTTGGGGAGCTCTTATTATATGACTATTGTGTATCACTTTGAGTTTTGTGGATGAACACAATTGAAATTCCAATTCAATTTTCTTAAATAAAAATAACTAAAGTTGACTAATTTTAGGATAGTAACATTTTCATTTTTAAGACGCATCATTGATATGCCTTGGTAATGGTTGTAGGAGGTGCATTAGAACTCTTGAAATTCATTAAGAATTCTTAAATGAATCCAAAATCATAAACTAACCTGACAATTTAAGTTGTCAGGTTACTGTCACGAGAACTTATTCTTGCTCATTTTTTGGTGTGTATAAATTGTCTGACAACTTAAAGTTACATAGTATCCTACTCAGTTGTTTTGGGTTGTATGAAACAAACGAAAATGATTGAATTGATAGGGCAACCAATTCATGGAGGTATTACTTACCGAGGTTGACACTTGAGAAATATTTACTAACTTAATTCAGTCTTAATTTTAAATAAATTAACTCCATGCATTTAATTAAGCAATTTGAACATTACTTAAAATAAAATTATAAGATTATAAGTGAGGAGATCTTACTGATGACAAAACATTTAAAATTTGTACAATAAAATAATTTAGTGGTGGTTGTGGTTCCCATTACCAAGTAATTAGTTTCCACTTTAATTTTCTCACATTTCTTTTTTTATATATATATATTTTTCTTTCATAATTTCTTGGATTTAATATAGCTTAAAAGTTTAAATTTGGTTGTTGTCCAATACCTTTTTCCATAAAGGGTGTTCGGTGTTTGGCATTTCAATGAATTTTTAAATTTTTATCGTCCTGTATGAACGACCGTTGTTCCCTTTCATAACTCCTAGTACTATATATGTTGGGTTTTGCAGACAATAGACCTGACAAAAAGATTGAAGAGTTGGGGATCAAAATGGTTAGACATTGTGGAGGTCTACCATTAGCTGTTGTTGTGCTTGGAGGTATTTTGGTAACCAAACATACAGAGGAGGAGTGGGAGAAGGTGCATAGGAATATTAATTCACACATAAGTAAGGGCACAAGTACTGTGCGGCAAGAAGATGGAGGAGTATCACAAGTGTTGGGTTTAAGTTACGATGACTTACCATTTCAGTTGAAGCGATGCTTTCTCTATTTAGGCAGCTTTCCCGAGGACTCTCAGATAGAATTAGAGAAATTATATCAACTGTGGATAGCCGAAGACTTGATATTGTCAGGTGATATAGAAGGAGAAGACACAATGATGGACGTTGCAGAGCGTTACTTAAGTGAATTGGCACAAAGGTACATGGTTCACTTGGGAGTAGAGTCGTCCATAGTGAGAGATGGCATTTATGGAAGTTTAAAATATTGCAGGCTTCACGACATGATGCGAGAATTAAGCAAGTCAAGAAGTAAAGGAGAAAATTTTTTCAATGTGATTGATTCTGAGAAAATTTCATCATCATCATCATCATCATCATCATCATCAAATGCTAAAGTACGTAGAGTTGCCATCCATAGGCATTTGGGGAAGGAGAAGGATTATGGTGATTGGCTTTCAACTCAGTACTACCTTCGTTCGTTGCTTTTATTCGGGATAATAAATTCATGCCATTGGAAAGACTTGAAGGTGTTGAGAGTTGTTCATCTTGAAGTGAGACTTCGAAAGTTACCAAAGGCAATTGGAAAGTTAATCCATTTGAGATATTTGAGTTTAAAAGGTTGTGAAAGACTCAAATCGTTGCCATCGTCTATAGGCAACTTGAGATGCTTGCAAACCCTAGATTTAAGGAATAATGGTTATTATTACATGAGAATACCAAATGTATTATGGAAGATAAAAAGCTTGACACATCTGTATCTTTGTGAATTAATAAAAAGACAAGGAAAAAAGATGAGATTGTCAGGGTTGGGCAAGCTGGAGATCCTGGAAAATTTCGATTCAAGTAGTTGTGATGTTAAAGACCTATCCAACCTTAAAAATCTTAGGAAACTGACAGCACGTTTTTATGGTGACGACGTGGTGGTGGCCGACTTCGTCAACCTCAGTCGGCTACGGCACTCATCATTGGAATTAAATGGTGTTATCCGAGGTGGTAAGTTACCTGCAGTACACCACTTCTCTCCAAGCCTCACCGCATTGTCTCTAAGTAATTCAAAACTCAAGGAGGATCCAATGCTAACACTGGGGAAACTGCCCAACTTAACACACCTCTCCTTGTCGCTTGATGCCTTTGAGGGAGTGGAAATGGTTTGCTCTGAGGAGGGTTTCCCTCAACTCAAATTTCTACGACTTTTCCGTTTATACAACTTGGAGGAGTGGAGGGTGGATGAAGGAGCCATGCCCAATCTTTTTAAATTACAAATTATTAATTGCCCGAGATTGAAGAAGGTTCCAGATGGATTGAAATTCATATCTACCCTTCAGGAATTGAATATAAAGTCCATGCCATATGAATTTGTTAGAAGACTTGGAGGGGTAGATGGAGAAGAAGGAGAAGATCAATACAAAATCCAACACGTCCCTAACATCCTATACAAGAACATGTGAGCACTCACCATTAAAATAATAAATCATTTTCCTTTATTTATTTTATTATATATAATGCAAATTTTCTTAGTGCTTCCTAATATTTGGCATTATTTTTCACTTGTATTTTTCCCTTTATAAACTTGCCAATCTTAGTACCACACTAAATTGATTCTTCCTCTGCTTACCGTCTTACCATTCTCCTTTTAATTTGATTTTTTTTTTTTTCCCTCATCTGGGCTTTAAATCTAAACTGAAAAATCCAAAACCGTTCTATATATATGCACGGTGTAGCAATTCTACTACTATTATTATTATTATTTTGAAAAAGACTCGTCAATAATTGTAATTTCTTATTTCTGTGTTTTTGCAGTCACAACTAAAATGAGAGCAGCTTCTGCTTACTGGGGAGATGATGGTAATTGTAACTTCTTCTTATTTCTATCCTTTTTTAGTTTTCTCCTTGGGTGGTACTAAACAGATATCTTTGCTTCAACTGTTGGTAAATAATCATCTGGTATGGTAAGCATATGCCATCCATATTGTATTTACCAATCCTATTTTTTTTTTTTTCAATAAGGTGGAAACTCGTAATTCATAATAATGAAGTATTTTAAGAGAAAGATTCCGTCAATGATTTGCACTAGGAGTGGATTGAGTTTCATGGTAGATTATGTAGGCTGCCAAACTGAGTTAGCGATTGACTCATGAGGATTTGCAGGTCTTGAATGGGAAAAAAATAAAAAATCATGGAAATAAAATGTTGAAATAATTCTCACTCCAGTGCAAAAGACTGCAGTCTACAATTTCCTCTATTACAATGACAACATCCTAAGCCCCAAGACAAGTCTTTGGGGTTCTTCTCCTGAACTTGGACTTGTACCCTAAAGCTCTTCCAAAATTACTAGAATAAATAATTCAGCTTGCCCTACAATAAAAAATTACTCTGCACTTCACCTTCATCTTTCTCTGTGTTAATATCAATATGTCTATCTCTATGAAATATTGAATTATAAATACTACGTACGTAGTATTAACTTTTAATAATGAAAAACTATATTGGTGGTTTTAAACTTTTTTGACTAGTGATATTTAGGCCCCAAGTGTCAAAGTGAATTGGATGACCTATAAATTTTGATCGGTTAGATTTAGACATCATCCGTTAATGTTCTTAACTAAACAAAAATCAGACGAAGCCTTAATTCAGATTGAATATCAACAACACTCTTAAGGTTGCAGATTAGTCACTGCATTAAATAGTTCACAACGATAAGCCATCACTATTGGTAGTCACATGGTTCTTTCAATGTCTTAAAAGTGAGTATACTTATAGGCCCTGTTTTGGATGGCTTCTGAAAAGCTACTTTCAGCTTTTAGAGCTTCAAGAAACCTTTTTCTGTGTGGATGGTTTGAGGCAAAGAGTTTCCAGATTTTGAAAGAGCTTTTGACTACTACCAGCTTTGAGAGGCGGCATTATTATTATTATTATTATTATTTTTTGAGAATTACTACTAGTCCATACAATTACAAATACATAACTATTGAATATCTTTTTGATCGGTCTGTATTTTGTAGTTTGCATAAAGTAAACTCTTATATTAACTGTGTTTAAACTATAACCGTATCAATATTCTTAATTTTATATAGTCAGAATCTATTATATTCTTCTAATGTTACACATTCTACATTGCTGTATTGTTAGTTTTTCATTTACTTATCTCATTCGAAATCTACATCTCCAGGGATTGCCCAAGTTTGATGAGGGGTGGATTCAATATACTCAAAGTGTGACTGCATAATTAAAGCTTGCCAGGTGTTCGATGAAATGCTTAAAGGAATTTGATGATTGTAGGGTACTCGCATATTGGTTTGCTTAGAGAAGCTTGTGGTTTGTTTTATCATATGATAAATGATTGTTATGATTGGAAATTGTTTGTTAATACTTTTTACTCTTGCTGGTGTTCTTAAAATTTGTGTTGCTTTGGGTTTTTCTAAAATTGCAGAATAATGTACGTTTGTTTAAATTTACTTTTGATTATGATATATTTGTTGTCGGGTCTGCAATTGATATGCATTAAAAATGTGGTTGTTTAAATATGTCACATTGTGTTTTTGATCGGATGGAAACTCGTGTTCTTTTGACTTGAAACACTATAATTATTGGGTATATATATGCTCAAAATGATTATGGAGAAGCAGCTATTGAGGTGATTCATAGAATGCAACATGAAGGTTTTTGTATTGGCGGCAAGGAAGGACTAGCTCAATTTCCTCTATTAAAATGAGAACCTCCTAAGCCCTAAGACAAGTTTTGGGGGTTGTTCTCCTGAACTTGGACGTGTGCCCTAAAGCTCTTCCAAAATTACTTTAAGAATTCAGCTTCCTCTGTGTCAATATCAATATGTCTATCTGTACGAAATAGTGAATAATAATACTATAACTATTAATGATGAAAACCCATATTGAATTTAAGCTTTTTGAATAGTGATATTTGGCTGAAGTTTGCTCGACTTATAAATTTTGATTGGTAATATTTATCAAATATAAGGAAGTGTGATTTGTAATAAAATAATTCACATCGATAAGCCATCACTATTGGTAGTCGCATACTCTGTTTTGGAGTGTGTGGATGATTTGCAGCAAAGAGCTTCCAGATTTTGAAAGAGCTTTTGACCGGAACTGGTGGCTACCAGTTTTGAGAGGAAGCTCTTTTTTAGATATACTACTAGTTATACAACAACAAATACATAACTCTTGAATATATTTTTGATCAGTTCAAATTTTGTAATTTGCATAAAGTAGACACTTATCCTTTAATTTTATCAATATTCTTGATTTTATATTTAGAATCCATTACATTCTTCTAACGTTTTTTTTGCATTGTAACAATACAAAAACTCGTAAAGATTGCACAATCATACCAAACCTTAATCTATATATGGTATTAAATACCAACACTCAAGGGTTGAGCATGAGTCAATGTATAATCGAATGTCAGTCAGGATTGAGTTAAATGATTCACATCTATGAACCATCGCTATTGATAGTTAATTAGATGGTTCATTCAATGTGGTAACAGTAGAGTAATTCTTATATGGCCCTTTTTGGAATGACTTCTAAAATGCTGCTTCTAGCTATAAGAGTTTGAAGCTGCCTTTTTGGGTTTGGAGCAAAGAGCTTTCGAATTTTGAAAAGACTTGTTGTCTGGAGCTGGTTGCGTTGAGCTTTGAGAGGAAGCTCTTCCTGAGATGTATACTACTATTTATACAACCATAAACAAGTAACTATTGAAATTCTCATAAGCTCTCCTGAGTCTGGTTATTAATAGCTTCACTGACGGCAAAAAATTGAAACCTGAAAATTTAACCATCTGATCAGATATTGAACTTCACCATCATACACAGGGCACTCTTATCCGACCTTAAAAATGATATATATAGTCCGAAAGTCCGTATCTCAATTTTGGATACGCCACTCAAAATTTTAAAATGTAAGGTGGCATATATAGTCCAAAAGTCCGTATCTCAATTTTGAATAATTCACTCAAAATTTTAAACTGTTGAGTGGCATTACTTACCACTTTTACTCTCATACAAGCCCAAGACCCCAATCTAATTCAATGTGGGTAAAGACTCCGAAAGTTATTCCCGCCGGAATCACTTTGTTTAATATATATATTTTTATTTTTTATCCTCACTTAGATTAATTGTATCTCTTAGTTCAAAGTAACATAACATATACTAGTACGACTTTTATACAAATGAACATATAATTGTAAAAAGTTTTAAAAGTTATTTTTGTCTGTACATTGGGATCATGTTTGTGTATTAAAGTACCACTTTTTGTGTTCTTTCCTCAAACATATACTAATGTGGTGTCATTTTTCACAACAGTAAAAGAGGTAATTTGGTATCAACTTAAAATGAACAATATATTTTCACACCCGCATGGCCACATCATCATATTAGCCAAATTCTTTTTTTTTTTTTTAGGTCAAAACCTTATAAGTTCATAAAATAGTAAATAACACTCCAAAAATCGATGTATATGTAATTTTCCCCCATTTTTACTTTCTTCACCAATAGTAAAAAGGGTAGTTTGTTAAATTTTTATTATTTTTTTTGGAGGGGAAATTTGTAGAAATTTACCCAAAATCTATCCAAAATAGTCACACACTCAAATACCTTTTATTCATAATTGCAAAATTATCTACTCGAGTGGGTCCACTACTAGTAAAGAAGAAAAAGTAAGACAAGACTACTATTTGGGTTATTATTTACTTTAATTCACCAAGTTGATCGATGAGTCTTAAAGTCCTCCTTCTCCGCCAATATTTTTTCACACCCACATCATCATTTTAGTCAAATACTACTTTTTTTTTTTTTTTTTTTCAAAACTTCACTAGTTCATAAAATAATAAATAGCAGTCCAAAAATAACTATTCAGTTAAGTAATTCATTGCAAATGTTCTATGTTAATATCATTATTCATATAACAAATAAGGAAATAAAACCATCCACTTAGTTATATTTCGTATAAATAATCAATTAAAAATTCTTCCGATAAGTAATTCAGTGCAAATGTTCACGGTGAGTATCACAAATTTTCTTTTTTTTCCTAATTAAATTTTAGAGAGAATTGAACCCCCTTGATTTCTCTAATTCCCAACTGGAAGTTTTTGAAAAATTTAATTTTTAACAATACCCATTTCCTATTGATATTCCAATTTAATTAGAAAAATTAAACTCGACGATTATCCTCATAAAATAATAATATTAAATAATGTCATTACCAATATGTATGAGATATAAAATACTAATCCATCCATCATACATGCATCATAAATGAAAAAACAATAATAAGGTGCATCCATGGCTGAAAAAAAAAAAACAGTAGAAATCCTCATTGGGAGAATCCACCTTGCGAGTAGAGATTTTTCCTTGTCTTTAAAAAATGCAAGACAAACATTAAGGCTATTAGGCCTTACGCGCGCGCGCGCACAGAAATTGGTGCATGTTCATGCATATACAACAAACAGTTCACCTGCAAGGCTTCCTGCATATTAAAGCTGCCCCACTTTGGGACATTTAAGGAACACGAAGGAAAAGTATGATCACCAAGGGGTGCTGATATTGGCGCTTTCAACAATGTCAACAGAGCTTTGATTAAACACCGGCAACGTAAAATGACCACCTATATATTCCCGCAGCTTATGATCCATAAATATTACAGAGAGGACATTCATTTCGGTGCAGTTTAAGGAAGAACATTTAGAATAATTCATGCATATGAATGAAAATAAAGTGTAGAAGCAAATATTAAGGATGTTACTGTAATTTTACGGACGAACAAGGGTCAACAAAGTAAGAGAAATACTGATCATATGGTAGTTTTATGGTCTTTCGACTCCTAATATTAAAGTAACTTTAGGTATTGCGTAATAAATAGTTCTTCTTTCTGACTTTCACCAGCCGGGTCACACCTGAAAAACGTATTCTCCATTTCTCTTCTGATTTCCCTAAACACACAAATAGGAAAATATACTCCCATATATACTTTTCTTCACAGCATTAGAGAAAAATGTAAGCATCGCCACCATTGACAAGAGCTTGTAACTGTTTAATTGTGCAAGACGACAGTTTATAGCTCACTCTTAAATAGAGGGGTCCATTAGGAAAGTGTATCCAGTCTCAGCAAAGTGGGATTTCACCAGTGCAAGAGCCTTGGAGCGGTGAGAAATTTTGTTCTTTTCTTCCTTGGGCATTTCCGCGTAACTACAACAGCAACAAGAGTTAGCCATGTTGAGTTCGTACCAGCAATATAGAGCCTACCATTGAGTAAAACAAACAAAATAGAAAGATATATGGGTTTACGTTTGATCATATCCATCGGGTTGAAAAATTGGATCCCATCCGAAATCTTTAGGTCCCCTTGGAGGAACTATCTTCCCCTGTGATGTCAACCATAAGTCAAATGTTAGCACTACGAATTTGAATATTAGGTTATGTGCAACATTCCACTTTTTACCTTAACTCTTTATATACAACACAATTTCCAAATTTTGAAGAACTAAAAATATTAAAAGTTCAAACTAAAGACAAAACAATCAAGAAGTATAAACACTAGCAAATGTCTTGCTAGGTTAAATGTTGTACATGAAAATAGCAAAAATAATCTAATCACATCTCTATCAAATTCAGTTTTATCATCTTCCTTTGAGGTGACAATATGCTGTTGAGCTGATGGGGTAGGCATATTTGACGAATATAAAGGCCCTATACTCCTCTCCTAAAAAAAATCATAATGGAGAATCATAACGGGTATCTCTACAATTATTAAATAAGGCTCCTGGGTAACATCCAAACTCACCTGACATTGAACTCTTCCGTCCTGACTAGAGTATTGTTCGATCAGTATATATTAGCCGTAAGAGATCATATACGAGATCATATACGCCGTTGATGTAACCTTTCTCTTATATCATCCATGACTCCTACTTACGGTAGAATAGCAAATATTAAACAATTCACTACTGGTTGTTTAGAAGATCAGTTCTGTAAGGCCTTCCTAATACTTAAAAAAGTTCATGAACTGAAGTACTATTAATTGTAACAATTGCCTGACAGTTCAAGAACTGACGTATTATTAATTCTAACTATTGCTGACATGTTACTTTTAAAATGATAACATAGTAAATATTTTAAATCAATGTCCGCTGCCACAAAGTCCAGTTTATTTTCCATCTCTGGGGAAGGCAACAACATAATTTTCATCAAAAGCACAACAGTGTTGCATCTGTCTGGACACTTGAACCAGGACTTTAAAGAAGTTGGGGGTTTTAAATAGGAGGTAGTAAATATAGCCAAGGATATAAACACTGCAAAAGGATCACGTAACATCACTCTGTTAATTAGGATTTTGCTCTTTTATCAAACTTAAAATGAGAAAGCCCACAACTGACTGAAAAAAGTAGCCCCTAAATGATGTTTCAAGGAGAAAAGTTTCAAATAGAATCAAGCTGAATGCATGTTGACCTTCCAAGGCCCTTACTGGTGCTTCGAAGTAAACTTGCAACGTTTTGTCATTTTCAGATATTCTAGAAAATAAGCATAAGTTTTGTCCAAACTCACGGCACAGTCTGCCATTGCCATTTCTTCATAAGGAACAGTTGCACTTTTGACTTTGGCTGGTGGAAGAGGCAAACCAAATTTTGATTAAATGATTAGAGAGTACCTTTTACTGTATTTAAACCCAGTCGGACCCCCAAAGCAATAGAGTGTGCTAGCAAAGAAGCAGCATGGATTTCTAGAACTGGAGGACCTTTCCATACAAAAATTCAACATAGCTCAAAATGCAATAACGTGCATAAAAAAGGTACCACAGATCTCTAAACCAAAATGTCTACTGGGACATTTCAGGTAACGATCAAAGTGACATGGGAAGGATATGGATGAGGTTTAGGAAGGGTGTGGATAAAGAATTTTCAGGTCCCCTTTGTCTGTTTTTTTTTTTTTTTTTTTTTTTGTTTTTGATAAGTAGGCCCCCTTTGTCTGTTTAAGGATCCTTTCAGGGTTTTATCCCTTCTTCTTTTTTATACTTAAAGCATAAGGATCCTCCTTTAATGCATTACTTGAAGTATCAAGGAAACCAAGTTGGACTTCAATAGGAATGTACATTGTAAAGAATAATAAGTGCATAAATCAATATATGTTCTGCCTATGCAGGTCGCTAGGAGAAGACTGGAAATTGACCTAAGGCATAATTTTGCACAAAATGACTACTCTCATACTAGAACCCACAACTTGAGGCTTGCAAATCCAAACGACCATAGAAATAATATATTTCCAATTTCTAATTTTGTCATTTGTACCATAAACCCCTAAATATGATTTCTGTAACTGGGATGCTACAATTGGTGTTGTGAGATTGTTCGGACACCAAAATGGTAGGATTATAATTGTATGCACAAGTATGGAGAAATCAAAAGATTCAGTAACTAATATTTTCTATCGGCATTGAAATCAACTGCGATTAACAAGCACCGAACTAAGTTGAGTTGAGTTATATTGTCTTACATGGGGATTATTTTTAATTCTAGCACACATTTTTAAAGAAACATGAAAGAAGATTACGTGTATACATATAAATATATCTTCTTAGCTGAGAAAAAAAGGCTTATCTAACTTGTCTAATGTCAGCTTATCTAACTTGTCTAATGTCACTTCTTGAGTTATATATATTTTTGAAGCATAGGCCCATATGAGCCCCCCAAAATTTTTTAAAAACCCTAAAAATATAACATTCCTATAAATAGTTGTTTGAAACAGAAATAAGTAACTAAATGTTTTCCCCCTGCCAAAAATTTTAAAACCCTAAAAATATTGCATTCCTATGGATAGTGTGCTTGAAAACATTTTAAGAATATTTAGGGGAAAAAAAAAACATGGGTCACTATTTCGCAAAACCTTCATGTTATGGCCTTTCTATAAATAATGAGCTACAAATGAATTCTTTTAGGCTTCACTTTTGCAAGCCCACAATTGGAGAGAAAGGTCTAGAAAACACACACACACACACACACTATATATATATATATATATGTATGTATGTATGTATGAATTTCAGTAGGTAAATCATAGCCCCCCACCCCCACGAAACAAAAATAAAAAAATAAAAAAATTCTGGGGTCCACCCCTCATAGAGTCATAGTTAGTCTTGAAACCAAATTGTGATGTTGATATATGCAGGGACAGACCCAGGCCATTAACTGAGGGGGGTCAAGAATGATATTTTTTTTAAATTTCGCGAACGCGCGCGCGCGGAGGGGGGGGGGGGATAGTAATATTTTAGGGGTATATAACTGAAAAAGAACAATTTAGTAAGGCATATTAGTAAAAAAAAAAAAAAAATCAGGGGGAGCAATTAGTTGCTCCCCCTGATCTGTACATAGGTCCGTCCCTGGATATACGCAAATATATAAAAGATGAATAGCAAATGGGAAGTACATACCGTAGTTTTTCCAAGGAAAGTTATCGGATCTGCGTTTGGCCCAAGAGCAAAAGAAAATACACAAACAGTATAGGCTGATTTATCCTCATATGCCATCAACAAATTGTTCAGTCCTACAAAAAATGACAGGAGCATTAGGCCAATAACAGTGGGGGAGGCACCAATGTGAATATCAAAAAATAATGAAACAGATAAGAGAAGAAACCAAAGAAGCAAAAATAACAACCTTCATGACCAATCTTCGGTAGAAACCACTTGCTGCATAATTCCATTTTCAATTTAGTAAAATCCACAAGAAAGCAAAAACAAGAAGATGTTAAGATCGGACCAAGGAGAGAGATATCAAACTGCAATAAGAGAACTTTTATAGAATAAGAAGCATTGAACTAAATAAGAAAGGTTAGCAAGATAACCTTTGCTTAGATTTATCCAAAAAAAGAGTTAGATAGAACCGATACGTTGGGCTTTTTCCCCATAAATAACACATTGGTTTTTCTCTTTATGAGAGGTTATCATAAGCGATATTTTCGCACTTCAATTACATTATTAAACAGAGGCTTGCCCAGAAATGTATACTCAGGGAGGGGGAACAAAAAGTCAGCCATGCATACAAATGTAAATCTAATTTGGCATATACATAATATATAAAAATGGACAAAAAAAATTTATGCAACCAAAATGGTGTATTGAATCAGGAAAAAAACTAGAGTTGATTAGGTTGGTCATAACTCAGTTTGCAACATCTACCCTGATATTGTAATGGATCCGCAAGCAAAAGAATAACCAGAAAATCATGTTCCCACCTAGTCCAGTAAATGGGCAAAGAATACAACGTGCAAACAGGGATCAGAGATTGCCATGATGCCTTTATATGGAATCACATGATTTATTTCTAAGGTGATAGGTCATCTTATTTGAATTCTTTAAATCTATAATGAAAAGAAACCAGCAATGAGGTACATATATAAAGCCATGGATACAGGCTCAGCAAAAGAATCAATCATAAAAAGTTTGACTAAAATGAAGATAAGAACAGGGGGATCTTTAAAAGCATTGACACGAGATTGAAGTGACAAAATAATCACCTTTTGCGTGCAGATGGTTACTTCCAGAACCTGGATTTTTCTATGAAAACCCAAGCATAAAGTTTGATGAGAAAGTTAGAGGGATTGTAAGCTTGCAGAGCTTCAGGCAATCTCAGTTCAAACATTTTGTGGAGCTTAGAAGGAAGACAGTATTATGAAACTATAGGGTATCAATCCAACACAATTAATCACTTTTAAATTTTGCATCTTGCTTCATTCTGGTGAGTGACTTAGTCACTTGGCACCTCGAATAATACAAGATCTTAGGGCCTTAAGGGTGCTTTTTACCCCTATCCATTACTGAATATCATTGTTCCTTCTTCAACTCTGTGTAAAAGACTTGCTGAATAAGATTATAAAATAAGCTATACTCTAGTTTCCTACACCATAATTATTGATTTATCCCTTTGATTATTAATAACTACAGTAACACTTTTACAACTAGGAGATGGTGCTGAAAGGAGGACAAGAAAATTTCAAAATTAGAAATCTTACAGCTTATTGAAGAAGCGACAATAACCGAATCACCATGAGGTTTCTCAAAAGTCTCTCTTAAAATTTCTCTTTGATTTGCATTGTAATTTTAAAAAAGTTCCAAATGAGGTGTATACAGTTGACTGATTTTATCATTAATGGTATACTTTAACCTTGCTTAATGAATGGTAGCTATTTTATTGTTTGAGTTGAAGAAATTGTAAAAAATTAGCTGCAATTATTTAACCCCAACTGGGCCAACCCCCTCTCTCAAATTTCACGAAATTGGACTGAGAAATACTGCACAAAATCTGATGGAGATAGACAATACTTTCTATGCATGGAGTTTTCCACAAAATTCACCTATTGCAAATGCTGAGCTTATATAATACTATTTTTTTTACTGAAATTCATACTCTAAAGTCTAAATGACATCCTAAACCTGTCCATCAAAAAGGGAAATGGGTTCAAATTATAGGGAAAACCATTCTTGCAACAAGAAAAACAAGCCAGCTAAATTTATGACAGTATCTTTTCGTGGTGTTTGCCTCTCCTTCCTGCTTAAAGGACAATAATTCATGCTTTCTCTAAGCATCAACACACTTTTAAATGAGCATGTTGAACTTCTACTCATTAAAGAGAGGCTCTGAAAGAAAAATCAAATAAACTAACAGCTTAGGTATCATAAGACCAATGTCAATTTCTATTATATTTGAGAGCGAACATACCTTGGTTTTTCCTGAAAATTATAAAAATAAAATGAAAATCAATTTTCAAAATAGTAAACCGAAATTGCATATTACGCTAATACGTGAAATTTGTATAGCAAGTAGGACGCTAATAAATTTTGGGCACAAACTATAATTCAGATAGTCTAAGCCTGAAGTAGTATCTACTTCATGCGAGTTCATGGAATTTTCCCTTACTTTAAAAGTATGTGATATTTTGTAATTCTAAGGAGATGAAACATGCCTTGTGAGCATGATTAAATCATTTATTCCTTCTTTTATCACTCAAATTACACAATGTGCCATTGTTTATCTTTCTTTCTTCTAATGACATTACCCTACTTAATACAAAAATCCAAACCCATCAAGTGAGAGATTATAATAATAATTCAAGACATGGATAGCATAATAAGTAAACCTAAAAATTATAAATAGAAAAATAACTTCACCTGGAGAGGACAAGAATGAAAAAGGAACTTACATGTAAGGCCCTGTAAAATAGTTTCAAACAATCAAACAGGTCATTATTATTATTTTTATAAAAAAAATTATTAAAAAAAAAAAATCCCAAAATTAACAATAAACACCTGGGAGACCATTAAGGGCATTAAAACAGAGGCAAGCGTCTTCCACCAGCACTGGTCCTTTCACCTTCACAATCCCACAAACAGAAAGACTTTAAACTGGTTAGACAATTGTATATATACTCAATTATGTGTGCGTATATATAAATATATAGAGAGTACCTCTTTTGCAGCTAATCGAGCCTTTTCTTTGGAGATATCTTCAGGTTCGCCTTGTAGTTCTGGCACTGAAGGAAAATAAGCAGAATACGAAAATGGGTGAGTGAGAAACATACAAAAAGATGGTTTTATAGAGAGAAAGAGTACTAGATAGGGAGTACAGTCGAGCTTGAGAGACTGAAAGGGAATGGAATTGCCCAGGATCGCCCGGACTTCCTCGAGCTTTTTGGCGTTGCCGGTCACGAATGTCACTGGACGCGATAGCACTATTCCTGAACCACCAACCCTCGCCGCCGCCATTCCCGTGCTTTTCTCCCACTGCTCTGAAATGATATCGCAGGTTTTGACGGGAAATCGAAGAACGGTTTAGGGTGGAAAGGGAAAGCTAAACAAAAACCCCCCGCCCCCGCCCCTTCTTTTGTTTTTCATAATTTAAGCCAAAAACCATTTTCTAAATACTATTTTCAAAGTTTCTACAAACCATTTTACTAATTAATTTGGGATGTGGTATTCAAAATTTCAAACCCTTTATTTTTTTCTTTTTTCTTTTTTTATATAAGTATATTCCTTTTTTTTTCTCTCTCTTTGTCTCATTTAAATGGTAAAATATTCTTTTATTTTAGTAACAAGGTTCATTATAAATAACCATAATAATTAAATTTCACTAATCATTTGACTCATTTTCTTGCGAGAATTATTATTTATGATATTAATTTATGTCAAATATTTTTATTTTTATGGAAAAATATGTATTTTAAAAAATCATAAATTACAAGTTGAATTTTAGAGTACATGAAAATTGAATATTGCAGAGAGAGTTGAATTTTTTTTTTTTTTTTTTTATAATATTGAAGAGATCGTGTATATTTGTAGAGGGTAAAGTATATTCTTGAAGTGTATGGAATTTTGTATTATAGATATTTTTGTAAAGAGGTTTTTTATTTATTTTTTTCTAAACAGTTATTTTTGTAGAGAGTTTATAAGGAGTAAGAAAGCATACTACGACTCTAAAATATGTGTAGAATGCATTCCCTGGTGCTTTTAATATACTCTAGCATTGCTTTTAAATTTGTTTATTTATTTTTATAATGTTAGCACCTCTCAAAACACTTTCATAATTATGGAACACAAAAAGATTTTATGATATGATCCAAAGAAAATTCAAACTCCTGACTTCTCGTATGTGATATGATAGTCTTTTTCATTAACATATTCTTAGTGAGAACAATTTGAAATTATTGAAGTATGTGAAATAAATATTTTATATTTCTTTCGTGGGAAGTTGAGCATTGTAGACACTCAAAATTCAATAGACTTTGATTTTGACAAATTGACCCATCAAATGTGGTTATAATGTTTAATTAAGTTATTTAATTGGCTCAAACTTAATTCACTTAAATTATTTAATTAGCTTGATTAAATGAAAAGATAATTATTCTTAATAAAATGTATTTGTAATAATTATTTTTAATGATAAATACTATAATATAATCCGTCCCACCCAATTATGATTTTATTCTTATCATTTTTAAAGATAATTGTCATAATATAACCGATCCTGCTCAGTTATGATTTTATCCTTACTAGGAGGGGACACGTATCATCATTTTATGAATCTAAAAAACTATAAATAGAGGCATGGATGAAGGAGGAAGGGGTACACAAATTCAAAATTTCAGAGTGAAATACAGAAAACTTTGTCAATACTCATCCCTAACATCCAAACCCAAAGGCGAAGAATACCAAACACATCAAATCGTGTCATTCTTCATCAAATTTCACAAATCGTGTCGTTCTTCATCCAAATTTCATGGTAATTCAAGATAAAGCTTATGTAGCCCTTTAATACTAACAAAGGAGATCGAATCAGGAGACCTTATTCTTTGTAAAGAATATTACAGAGGATTATACTCTAATTTTTCCAAATTAATAAAATTCTATTATTTTGTGCACACAAACAAAATTGTAAAGAACAAAATAGGGAGCAAAAATAATAGAATTTTATTAATTTGGAAAAATTGGAATACAATTCTTAGTAATATTCTTTACAAATAATAAGGTTATGCACGATTTGATGTGCTTGTTGTTGATTACCGTTGAATTTGTTGAAAAATGGCATGATTTGATGTGTTTCGTGTTCTTCGCCTTTAGGTTTGGATGTTGGGAATGAACATTGGCAGAATTTATGTATTTCTATCTGGAATTCTGGATTTCTAAATTCTGAATTTGTGTACCCTTTCCTCCAGACATATATGTATAGGCTTCTTGAATTAAGAGGATGATGACACGTGTCCTCTGATAAGGATAAAATCATAATTGGGGCGAGCCGGTTATATAATGATAATTATCCTTAAAAATAATTATTTCAAATATATTTTATTAGGGATTATTATGTTTTCATTGAATCATTTGGGCTGAGCTAATTAAATAATTTAAGTGAACCAAGCTTGAACCAATTAAATAACTTAAGTAGACAGTAGACTCATATTTAATGGATCAATTTGTCAAAATTAAAGTCCATTAAAATTTTAGTGTCTATAAACATAAAATACTAAAAACTTCTATCGAGAAAGCCTTTTAATTATTCTATTTTCTTTGTCAGTATAGACTATGGGTTGGGTCAGTTCTCAATCTTGCCAAAACAATGAAAATAACAATGGCCCAAGCCCATCACCTTATGATACCCAAAGTAGACCTTTTGTGGATCATTACTATAAGCCCACGAAGGTTTTATGCTTGCTCTAATGGTTCTGTTTCCATAATCCTATCAATCTTTCTTATTCCATTATGCTTGTATAATAAAGGGAGGGAAAGTATTAAAAAAAAAAAAAAAAGTGAAAATCTTAGAATTAGTAATCCGAATTCTGAACATATTATATTTCTTAAATTGCTGCCCACCTCCAAATGAGATCACTTTTAATATATATATATATAGTATATGGAAAGGTGAAAACTTTCCAATTTAAGTAAATTTGTATGTGTGAGTATGTGTATACCAAGTCCATAATTGTATGTCTAAAATTTACATCTATATATGTTCTTTCGCATATGTGACTTTCGTGGATGTAATATTTGTTATGCACAAAATTAATTCCTCTTAAAATTAAATTGGGAGAACACCCTTGTGTTAAGAAGTGTAACAAATGAACCCGGATAAATACATTGAATAATTACTTGAGAATCTTGAGATAATATATATATATATAAGGGATAATTCTAAAAAAAAAAATGAAGTTTTGTAGATAAAAGGTTAAAAAGATGGAGTCAAATTTCAATTTTCTAAAATGGAGTTTTATGAAAGGCTGAGGTGGAGATGAAAATTTGTTACAAGATAACCCAACTACCCTTTCTCTCTCTTCACATAAATCGCTCCGAGCGACAACACCCCAGAATTTGTCTGCTGATTATTCTGGTATTGTGTATACTCATCATGGTGGTTCATATTTGGGTTCATCAACAAGAGTCCTTGTCAATATGTTCTTCCTTCGGCTTTGAATCAGACTAAACTATAGCAGTCGATTCGGTAGCTAATGCTCGAGAATCACCATACACTCCTTGCTTTTTTTCCTAGAAAATTCGAGGAACTTTTTCACATAAACTACTTGATCTTTAAGCAATTGAAGACCCAATCTTGTAATACAAGCCACAAAGTCTAGATCTTGTGATTCAGATAGAGACAGAGAGAGGGGCTTTTTTAAGTTCTTGGTCGTTTATCTCTTTGCCATGAAAAAACAGAGCTTGGAGAAAGAAGAGATAATGAAGAATGAGGACTGAATCATAATTAAATGAAATTTTTTTAGGTCGGCTTATGAGTAGTAAAGAATGGGAATCAAGTGTGATCTCAGGTTTATGTTTACGAATCTCAATCACTGAGATATAGAATAGAAGAGATAATTAGTTATGTGTTTATGTAAGATATCACTTTTTTTGGACCATGGAGAGGGAGAAGAGAAGTGAGATTGAGGCTTCGTTTGGATACACAGGAGGGAAAAGAAAGGAAAGGATTATAAGAGAAAAGAAAAGAAAAGAAAGGAAAGGATAGTTATAATTTATATTCATGTTTGGATAAATAGGAGAGAAAAGAAAAGAATTGGTAATATTGTTGTTTGGATAGCACAATGGAGAGAAAAGAAGAGAAAGGATAATAATAAAATTACCATTTTACCCTTTTTGGTATTTTTAGCAGGGCAAAATCATTTTAGCCTCCCTAATTCGCCTCCATCGTTCTCACAGATCCTCTCTCTCTCTCCCCCCAACTGCATACAACAAAATCTACAGCAATCAGAAGATCAAAACCTATATCTATTAGTTTCCATCATCAGATTGTTCCAAAAATCAAAACCAAACTACATATATGTATTTATATATATCGGCATATACATATATATATATCTCCATCTCTCTATTCTCTGTTTCATTCATGGATTTCTTCAAATCCATCTTATTAGACGATCTTGATCCTCTAGTGCTCGAAAAGCCCCAAAGTTTGGAGAACAAAAATCCATCTCGAGACAACAAAGAAGGAGAAGTCGATGACGACTTAGATCAGAGCTTCCCATCCCGTGATCAGAGCTTCCACACTACGTCGTCATCGACAGCCGGCTGATAACTTACAGAAATCGTAATTCATAAAGAGTTCAGGGCTTACCCATGTATGTGACTGAAGAAAAGCTACGAAGGCTGCTACTTTGCTCTCTTCGAAACAAAGAAGGAGAAGTCGATGACGACGAAGTGTGGAAATCGACGGCCGATATTTCAGCCGGTTGTCTCTCTCTGCAACTGCCAATTTGTAGAAGAAGCTTGTGCATATATGTATATTTGTATGTATGTATGTATATATATATATATATATATATATATAAAGAAAGCAAATCATTTCAGCCTCCATCTGTCTCTCGTTCTCAACTCTGAACTTGCCCTCTCTCTCTCTCTCTATGTAACTGCAAACTGAAACTACACGAGGCTAATTTTGTCTCTCTTTCACTTGCTTCCTTTCCCCTCAAATCTTCTCAAAGTTGAGGGGATTTGATTTCACTGTGCAGGAGGGATTTGGAGGGATAGCCTATCCCTCCAAATCCTTCCCAATCATTTCTTTTCTTCTCAATTCCCTCCACCCAAACACACTAAACTCTATCCTTCCCTTTCTTTTCTTTCTAAATCTCTCCAATTCCCTCAATCCAAACGAGGCCTGAGGGTTTTAGAGAGAGAAAGGGCAGTTGAGTCATTTCGTAATAAATTTTTATATCCACATTACCCTTTTGTAAAACTCTATTTATTTGGAAAACTGAAATTTGACTCCAATTTTTTTAGCCTTTTAGCTACAAAACTCTAATTTTTGGAATAATCCATGTATGTAATACATATTGGTAATGAACAACCAATCCACTTGCTAATTACTTTAGATCCTTAAATGGTT